ACTCTGGATGCTTTGTTGTTTTTATCTTCAACCGTCTTTAAATTTTGGAATGCTGGTGTAAAGTGTGTTGGTGTGTCTTTTGATTTTTCTAAAGCATTTGACTCTGTTCCTCATTCTCTCTTGTTAGCAAAATTATCTCGTTGTGGTGTGCGTGATTCTTTGTTGTCTCTTCTATCTTCTTATCTTTCGAATCGTTCTCAGTACGTGCGTGTGAATGATTCTGTCTCCTCTTCTTTCCTGTTCCTTCTGGTGTTCCTCAAGGCAGTGTGCTTGGTCCTCTTTTATTTCTTATTTTTATTAATGATCTACCTCTGTCGCTCCCACCTAATTATGAAATCTGTCTCTTTGCTGATGATGTTTTTTCGATTGTTCCTCTTTCCCCTACTGATTCTTCAAATTTTTCCCATGTTCAAAATTGTATAAACTCTGTTTCTCATTGATCTTCTTCCAATCTCATGTCTCTAAACGTTTCTAAATGTTGTTGGCTTCCTTTTTCTTTCCATCTCTTTCCGTATGTTTATAATCAATTGTATCTCAATGGTGTTCCTTTCTCTGTTGTGTTCTCTTCGTTGTCTCGGTGTTCTTGTTTCGCACGATCTTAGGTGGAATGATCATGCCAAGGACACTGCTCTTGCTTGTCGGCGCAAGCTTGGAGCATTGAATCGTGTCTCTGGATTAGCTCCAACTGAAGTTCGGCGTCGAATCTATCTTTCTTTTATTCTTCCTAAAATTGACTATTGCTGTGCCTTGTATAATAGTTCGTTTTCTCTTACTATTCTTGATTCTGTAAACAAACTTGCTTCTTGTATTATTTCTCGCAATTTTGACTATCGTTCTCCTAGTTCCCTACTTGTATCTCAACTTTCTCTTCCTAAACTCTCTCTTCGTCGTAAATACTTTAGTCTTCTACAGTTTTTCAAAATTTATCATCATCTAAGTCCTGTTTCTCTTTTTTATACTATTCATCGTCCTCACTACTCATCTTTACGTCTTCATCACTCTAAATATCTTCGCATTCCACCTTCTGTTGATGGTTTTTCTCCGCAAACGGTGCATTCTTCTTTTTTTTATTCAACTATTGCTGATTGGAATAATCTCCCAGAGTCAGTTATTTGTCTTTCTTCTTTAACGTCTTTCAAAACAGCTTTACTTTAGTATCTCTTCCAGTGAAACATGTCAGTTATGAATTTATATTGTTCTTTTTTACTTATTTTTTTTTTTTGAAAAACCTTTTTACTTTCTTTTTTTCTTTTATACTACTTCTAGTCCTAACGTTAGTTGTCTTGTTTATTCTGTTCTTTTTTTACTCTTTTGATGTTGCTTGGCTTGAATCATTGTTATTACAGGTCGGTGACCTTTGATGACTCACACTTTTCGTGAATAAAACAGTCTTAGTCGATAGGACTGACAAGACAAATGCATTGAACGACTTATAGATATTATTTTCTTGACTTTTATTATCAATCAGGACCACAATTTCAGTTTTATTGTTTTATATTACGTCTTGTTCACACTACTTAGCTCAATTAACTTTACAACCAATCAGTATCCTTAATTCTAACTCATGTTTATGACGACTTAACTTTTTATTAACCAATCAGATTCGTGAATGCTCTTGAGAAAGACCTGAGTCAACAGGCACCAATTAATAATGATGATAATTGTCGCATCTGGTCATACAGCAAAATGGTACCCATTTAAAGAAAATGAGATACTGTATAGTAAATCTGTTTTGGTAACCCATGTACACGTTTCATGAAATTTGATCGTATTTTTCGAAAGTTCGAACAATCAACGGGTACTCACAACTGTCTTTTCATAGGTCAACTGTATTAGCCTATTAATATTGGTCTGTCAAAACGGGAAGAAATATATGCCTAACGATATGACGGAGAATACACAATAGACGTAGACAAGATATTAAATAAACAAATTATAGCATCAAGGCATCAAGATTCGTTGAAGGGTGAATGGGTAATTATTTTCAATGATGAATTAATGATCTGATATTTGTGATATTAATCATCGAAAAATAAAGGCATAGTACTAAACAACAAAATAATAAATACACATAGTTTTTATATGTAGACTAAAGTTACTTTCTCGATGTGGCAATACGTCATAGTTTTAAAATCTAAGTAAAAGTCTTAATATGGAGTTTAATTTTAACATTATTAGTAAACATTAGTAGTAATAAGTCATTTCATTACTTCTTAAAGAATAACCGCGGTTACTTTTCAACTTTTTTTTAAAATAAAACATTTTTGAATTTATAAATTATGGAAAAGAAACTTCTATTTCAGATATATCTTTTGCGTACAACGCTGTATATAATTTAAATCATTAACTCTTCTAATAATGCGAGACAGAACTACTCAAAAAACTATTGATCAACGGCAACAAAAATTCGCCATTGATCAATTGATGATGTTAAAAACAAATCAAATTTCACAAGTAAATATCCTGTCTAAAACACTGAAAACTCATATTTCAGTCTTATATATATTTGTTTTAGTTGAATGACAATTATTCAACTCATCGTTTGAATTCATTCTGTGGACGTAGTACTCCGTTGATCAATTCTCAACTTGTTCCGTCAACAAAATTATATTTGGGTAATTTAACAGGAGAAATAACTCCACATCACTTGTTAGAATTTTATTCTAAATTCGGTCGATTACTGGAATGTGTTAAAATTCGTGATAATTATGGTTTCATTCGTTATGAAACGTTGGAACAAGCCAAAGATGCACTAGAAAAAACAAATGGATATGTTTTCAATGGTCAAACATTGAAAGTTGAATACGCAAAAAATGGTGGAAATCACCACGTTAAACATCGCACAATTCCCATATCCTATCCGACACAACATGCGAGAACATATTCGTCCTCATCATCGTCTTCCACTTCATCAGACATGTCATCACCAGTATTCGAACATAAATACGATAGAAAACGAAGACTTTCATCCGACAACAATATACAACAGCAGCAACAACAAACGAGAGAACATAATACAATTTTTCCTACTAATGCTAGAACTGGACAACAAAATGGTATACAGTAATTTGCTTAACTGCTTATGCAATAGTTAAAAGATGTGACCGTTTACTAAACTAGGAAGTAGAACTGATAGCTGTTTCAGGATTCTACAACGAATCTCTTCACAGAGCTGAAAGAAATTGGCGCCATTCAATAAACTCATGACTTTCTTTTTAAATCATACATTTTATACAGAAACGTTCTGTCTTTGAAATGAGTTGTTTCGAACTCGAAAGTACACATCCGGATACAAAAAGTACTGATTTGCAGCTAATTTGATAGGAAAAATAAATTACTTGTCTTTATTTTTCGATTTAAGAGCATTACTCACTACAACAACCTTCAATTCAAAGATTAAATAATTATTTGTACACTTATTCTAAACAACCACAACAAATGTCAAAGTTTAACTCTGTTTCGTCACAAAATCGTGTTCAAACGCCAACGTTTCATAATAACAAACACCATTCACCAGTATTTCAGTCTTTATCTCAGACACATGAACCAGAGTTGCTACCACCAGGTTTCAATTATTTTTCAATTTCAACAACAACAAAATCTGGTTTATCTCAGGGTCAAACTCCATTAAATCCTGGTATGTCTCAACATATCGCAATGTCGCGAACACCATCTTCATTATCAACATTGAGTACAGATAGTCATGAAACACAACAACACAGAACATTAAACAATCCAAATTTCATAGGTAAGAGAAGTGTTAACAAAAAGTAGTATTTGTTTTTTTTTGCGATAAAATGATAAATAAATTGTTGGTCTTAGTTTTAAAAACATGAAAGTAGTAATGATGACGTGACAATTATCTCGGACTATTTTAATAGACAATGTATAAACGCACTTTTTCTTGCATCACTGAAGAGTATTTATACTTTAGCTGTTTCGTTTTATTAATGAACTTTAGAGTGAGCCCAATAAGAATTAGCATAAATCGTTTGATTTGTTTATTATTTTTAGCTAATGGCTATTCTAATGTACAAGAGTCTAATATTCACAATTCGTCATCAGAACATCCGAATTTAGTCGAACAAGAACAGCAAATTGGTTGGAAACCTGCTACTGAACAACTAAAACGAGATTCTAATCCTTTCTCAACTGATGATGATGATTCAGCGATTGTTGTTGGTTCTAAAAATCAACAGTCCAACGGAGAAACAATAAGAAATTATGATCAAATATTAGATATTTCTCAAAATATTGCATTAAAGTTACCAAGTAATACATCAGAGGTAAAATAAGCAAAAATAAAAAGAAATTCTCATCTTCTATCAAAATTGTTGTAAACAATCGTGGTCTAACTAGTCTCTAATTTCTCCTTCAGTAACAATTATAAAAAATGTTTATCACGAAATATACACACAAACACATTGAAAAAGATATTTGTTTTAATTAACAAACTTAACGTAATAGTTAAAATTATCTATAGTTTTTTTCTTTGCAGATTTCTAAAACAAAAGTTTTACAACAACAGCAATCGTGGACGGATACTCCTTTGTTTCTGTCTCAACATTCAATATCATCGTCGTCATTCGTATGGGATTATGTAATGTTTCCTGAAGCTGCTCTTCATCCTGGATTATGTGGTGGTGGTGATGATATGAATTGGTGGCAAAAAAGGTTATGGCCAAAACTCGAACAAGTATTTGCCTAAATTTTTTATCGTTATTTTTCATTCTTCTTTTTCTTTTATTTAATCAAAATGTTGGTAATCTCGAAATATCTTTTTGTTTTTGTTTAAAGAATTGTTATACAAATTCTTTGTTCTCTCTATCATACAGTGTACAAACAATGAAAGAAAACTATTTTTGTTTTCTTATGATTTTCTTCGATTTTTGAAGAAATATGTGAATATTGACATAATTATTAATTTGTTGTTGGTGATGGGGTCGAGAGACATCAAATCTATAGGAAAAACAAAAATTAGTCAAGCCAAATGTTTTGTTGAGAAGAAATTTTTATCTTCTCTTCGTTTATTCTTGGATAATTATTATTGATTACGCACCCACCCACACACACACAACTCACATCTCTATTTTTCTATTTGTTTTATTTATTTTATTTATTTTTTGTTCTTTTTAATTTAAAATTTGAGTCATACGTACCACTTAATACGTTTTTCTACAAAAATTTATCGTTCAAATCTAAAATATCTAACTGATGTGACAAGGTGTTGTTAATATTTTATTTGAATGAACGAGGATTTTATCTGTTTGAACTGATTTTTGTCATTTATAGGCCATCAGTAATAGGAGTTTTTTTCTCTATTTTTTATTCTTCAATTGAAATTATGTTATTCTTTTACCTCTTTTTTTTTCTTCTTCTTCCCGGTTTGTATGAACGACAACAACTTTACTCTCTGTAATATTATTAAAGTCATTAACTGTTTAGTGTCTAACACAATATGAGTAATCGAAAATTATCAATTTTTCCTTGTAAACGGGTGTGTTAACAGTGATTTCAGTATCACGTCTATGTTGTTGTTGTTGTTGTTGTTGGTATTTGTAGTGAAATGGAATGTTAGGATTTTTTTCCGTCCGTTATTTTCGCATAATGTCGAAATATACCAAGAACAAGAATCTCCTTAGCACAGGTGTTCTAATAAAAATTTCATAATTATTTGATTTTCTATTTTGTTTTTTCTCTTTTTTTAAAAAATAATATTCATTTCTGTGTGTATGTGTCCTATTGTCATTATGTGAACTACACACACTATCGATATACATACCCAATGTCTCTTTTTCCTACACAATTTTTTTATTTAAATGATCATTTATTTTGTTTCAATTTGTTTATTGTTATTGTTTTTTTTATTCTTAGTTGTCAAATCAGATTCATTTTTTTTATTTTCGACGACAATGTTTAGCCTTCTTTTCCTTTTCTTCTAAAAAATAAATGGCAAGCAGATCTATCAATATTATTAACTGATTTTTACATCATCTATATCATCGTCAAATTCTGGCATTTTAGCTTGTGGTTTTAGCCATTTTTTTTTATAATTTTATAATTCGTCATCTATTATATGAAAACAATTTGAAATTTTCTTACATACGTTATTTTCAATTAATTAGTTATCATCATGTTAGTTAATTCACATCCGGATGCGTTTGAACTCGTATTGTCGACTAAAAAAAAGAATAGACTCGGATATTTTCTGAATAACGTTTGACACAAAAGAGATAGGGGTTTGTGATCTTCACCATTTGAAAGCCAAGGCATGATCACATCTTTGCATCATGAAAGCTCTTTTGGAAATCTTTCTTCAAAGTAGATTTTTTGGAGGATCGTTAAAAGTTGCCAGCTTACAGGTTAGAAAACTTGAAATACAAATAGTTTTTTCTTCCACGACCAGATAGGACAATGTGTCCTCTTCCGAATGGGAACAAAACGATTTGTTAATTTTTCGTAGTTTATGCGTGGCATACGATTCCTTGGGAGGCTCAGAATCGACGTTTCTTCACTTTTTACTTTTTAGTTTTCACGGGAAATTATAAAACTGTCAAAACTGGGTACTATCGGTTTTTTCTAAGTTCTTGAATTTTTGTCTGAAAGCAAATATTACCACGAGCTTCAGTGTGGTCGTATCTTTCTATTCATTTTCGGGATCATTATACCTAAAGACGTCGATTCTGGACCTCGAAAGAAATTCGATGCCACGCATAAACTACGAAAAATTAATAGGTTGCTTTATTCCCATTTTGAAGAGAACACTAGCCTATCTGGTGTTCGAAAACCAACCCATTCGAAGGAAAAGTTCAAAACGACGATTCTTATTTTATTTTCATTCTTATTGTTATAAATAGTTTTTTAAAAACGAAATCATTCTAACATCATTCACAAATATGTTGTATAAAAAAATGTGTTATCGTAAAATTTTCAACGACAGAAAACGCATTTCAATGGTCTAGTAATCGTTTTTCATGCTGTTTCTAACGGTTCCCAATGAATTTTTTAATACAAAAAAGTTTCTGTAAACGCATTAAAATCGACATTTTGTACCTTTAATACATCTAAACTCATTAGATGGGTCAACAAATTTAATTAATGCATATGATGGTATATTAATGCTTTTCAAAAACAAAAGTAGTACTCCATTCTATAGGGACGCATTTTTCCCATTTTCTGACGATGTCACACGATTCCTCTCAAAAAGTTTAGTCTCGGGCGATTGTTTCTACACAATTAGACATACTATTAAGGACTTAGGCACTTCCTCGAAAATTGACGCCTTCCCTTGCTATGCTCATACATGAATGCATTCAAGTTCGTTATTTTTATGAATTAAACAAGTTTAATGCATTAAAAGTTTTTAAGGCGTTAAAATGCAAAAAATCTCGTTACCACGTTAAAAACACTCTTGGCTCGATTTAATTTTAACGCAAGAAATGCTTAAAAAAAATTTAATATGAGACTAAAATGAGTGTTCTCGCTAGACTAACACGTTAAACTATTCATTTTAATTCATTTTAACGTATTAATGACTTTTAATAGACGAGAACGTTTTTCGTTCACTTTTGGTATACAAAGTTTAACGCATGTAGACGTATTAGAAATTTCGAAATCATAAAGCTTTTTTGAAAAATTTTGGCCCTATAAGACTAAGGGAAAAATTTTCGGAAAGTCATTACATACATCATTCGACTCAGTTTTCAATCCTGATTGCAAATATCACATTGGTTTTGTTTCAAACATACGTCTTCACGGTGAAAATTTGAAATTACGCTGCCGATTTTTGCACTTTTTCGGCTACTCACTACATTTTGTTTCCGAAATTTCGTCATTGGGAACTTTGAAAATAAGTCTGTCTTGTACACAATCATGCGCTCTGCAAAATACAACAAAAATGAGATCATCAGTGAGAGCCTTCTGAAAATGTTCAATTTTTCGGGTGTCAGTAGGAGACAAAAATATTTTTGATTTATTCATTTTCACAGAATAATTATCCGTAGAACTGCTTATGAGAACAGTCCTCTTTTGTATGTTAGCCGTCTTTCCCCTTTTTTTTCTTTCGACCGTGTTATTATCATTCACAATCATAGAAGTCTGATGCTTTTGAGTAACATCATTACACGTTTGTGTAGAAATAAGAAAGGAATTTAATTGATTTATTGTTTTTATTTAGTTCAAATTTAATCTAGGCTGTACGAATATCATTGTGCTTTGATTTCATAAGTCTAATCAAACCAGTTTTCAATTCGACATACTAAACAGTGACGTCTAGCCGATGGCACGTTTGAGGCACAGTGCCTCACAAAAAAGTAAGGTGGTACCAGTGTTGGATCCAGAATTATTCTTTGGTACGTGCGGTCGTCATAGAAACAAATTTTTCTAAGAGACTTCTGCCGGAAAAAAACCATTTTTTTGGTTATGAGCGACCGCTCGTATCGCTGGTGGGCTGGAGAATCTTCGAGATGGTACAAAATATCTCAAATATTCAGTGAGGATAGACGCCACTGTAAACAGTTCTAAGAAAAAAAAACGACAAGAATAAAATGAAATCAACAAAATCAACAAAAAAGATTGTAAGAAAAATAGAAAGTGAAAGAGAGCAAACAAGAAACAAATATTTAAATAAATGAAACTTTTCACATAAAAACAACAAATAATACGCATAAGAAATGTGTGAGTAAACAAAGGAATAAAAAAAATGAATGAAAAAATTTTGACCCACAACAAATGTGAAAAAAAAATAATAATTTAATAACAAACAACGACAACCAACAATAATAAAGACTAAATTTCTCGAATTTGAAATGGATGTGCTTCAGTATTAAACACATATTTATTTAATTGTATAACAGAATCTTCAGTATAAATTAAATATAAATATTTCAAAGTTTCAGCTAGAAAAAAGCTTTGTTGTACATCATCATGGCTTGGTGGTACTGAGTACACATCGCGAATGCCTGTATAACCACCATCAACTCGACAATATTTTTCTAAACTCTAAATAAAGAAAAAAAGAATAGACTATTTAATATTACTTACTAAATACTTATTAACATTATTTCACCTAGTATAAGATTTCACTAGGGTTTTGAACTTTTTTCGAAAAATAAATGTCGCCACCACGAGAATCAGCATAGTTAAAAACCTATGTTTGCATATATTACTGATGCTCTGAACCCTAAAAATGGTCGGTTCCGAGGCTGCTCAGGCCGTCCCAGTTAAATGCCTGTAGCTACCAAACGAAAAAGACAGTGGTCTCGAATTTGTTTAGTTTTGTAGAGCAGATGTTGCTCTATCTAGGTGTAAATTTAGAATAAAAATTTTATTTAGGATCCTGTCCACGGCACTGCGCGATATTTTATCCGAGAAGGTACACCACTGGAAATCATTTTTAAGTCGTTCGATAGCTCCATGAATTTACTTCAAAATGGTGAAAATCAGACCTCTCTAGCTCATTTCGATCAAACGTTATTCAAAAAACATTACTTTATTTTGAAACAGATAGTAGCTACATATATATCGACTTACAATTATAGCATCCCAAGCCCAATCTCTATAAATCTGTTCATGTGTTAAACGCCATAGATAAAACCATGTTTCAATCGCTTCTGGTCTAAGAATATAATATTTTTCATTCTCACGTAATGATTTTGCTTCAACATCTTGACGTTCAAAATGGAATGCTTCTGGACCAAGTCGTGTGGCTAAAAACACATTATTATGTAACTATTGTAATTCATTAGTGTTATGGTATCTACCTGATCGAATATAAGATTCATGACATGTTTGAGCTATTCCTTTTGCTATATCCATTTGATATTTCGAATCATTATTTAATACATATTGTGATGATAAACCATATAAACCACCTAAAAAATAGAAACATTATTTAATATTTTAACATATTACTCGTAATTTTACAACGTTCAACTTACCTACAAAACATGTCAAATGACCCATTTGTAGATCTAAATGTCCTGATTTTTGGTCACCAAAATATAACAAATTTGTTGTCGGTGTTTTACGTAACATTGCTTCTTCAGCTGCCTAAATCATACACAAAAAAGAAAGATATTTCTTTTATAAATTTGTATTGTATTTGTTAGTCTTACTTTCATTGCATCATAAAACATTATTCGAGCTCGTTCATCTTTTTTGCCCGATAATAACCAACTTTTAAGTAAATATTCGTAAAAACTATCACCCAATGCACCGAGTGAGGCGTGTGCTAAAACAAAAATAAATTATTTTTTTTACTGATAATACTATATCTAATTGTTCTAATAAAGATAAAAATGATACAACTACTAAATCAATTGATGATTTTTCACTGTACAAAAACACAAAATAAAAATGATATATCAACAGCTTTATATTGATCAAATCAGTATCATACAAGCATAAATTATTTTTCGATTTAACTATGGAAAACTTTTGTATATGAATTTTTTATACACTTTTTGTTTCTAGTTATATATCGATTTTTCATTGTTTTGCTTATCCAATGAATTATTGGCATCGTTTGATTATTAAAAAAGAAATTATTCCCCGTTTTTGGTTAATGTTCAAAAGAGAGATACATCAACTCATTGCATGTAGACACTACGACTTAAAAGTTTAGGAAAATTTTTCGATACAGAATAACGAACAAGAATTTGTGAGAAAATAATATTAATTTCAAAATTTTCTTAAATTTTTAAAAATACATCTTGCTAAAAATCCAGAAAATCTTGAATGTGTTAAATACAAAAGTACTTTTACACGACTCTGTATGAACTTTATTTTTTATCAGTGACAGGTATGTTTTGTTCTGATAGAGAGAAAACAATCGGAAAATCTCTCGTATTTGGTAAAAGTTTAAAAGTTTCATGTCAACTTAGAAATTTTAACAAAACCTTCGAATTCTACCTACATTAGTCAAACAATTAAAAAAAAATTCCTAATTTTTTATGATCTTCAAATTTATCATTTTATTATTTGTTTCTAGACGTTAAAAAAAATTTTTTCATATTAGTAATCACATCAAAATTTAGATTACAGTACTGGCCAAAATTATAGGTTCACCTGTATTTTTAATTTTTCTCCTCAACCATAATAGCTAGAACAAATGTGAAAATAGATTTGAACAACTGCAAGAGTTTATAATCAGGTGAGATACATATGAAAATTCCATTAAAATTCCTGTAAACCAGGTCTGTGAAAAACCAAGGTTTTAGAAAATCCTGAAAACTCAAGTCCCACGATTTCAACGAAAACTTTTTGTAAATAGCCCATTCGTGTAGAGAAAACATTTCTGAACAAAACTAGACGTCGTCGAACTCTCCACGATGTTTTTACACCGAACTGCATTCAATTTACGAAAGGCCCCTCCACATCACAATCAGCAAAATCGCTAGAAAAAGAGCAAAAATGATAATGAAAATGATCGAGGGACCTGTCGTAAATTGAATGCAGTTCGGTGTAAAAACATCGTGGAGAGTTCGGCGACGTCTAGTTTCGTTCAGAAATGTTTGCTCTACACGAATGAGCTATTTACAAAAAGTTTTCGTTGAAATCGTGGGACTTGATTTTTGGGATTTTCTTAAATCTTGGTTTTTCACAGACCTGGTTTGCAGAAATTTTAATAGAATTTTCATGTGTATCTCGCCTGATTATAAACTCTTGCAGTTGTTCAAATCTATTTTCACATTTGTTCTAGCTATTATGGTTGAGGAGAAAAATTAAAAATAAAGGTGAACCTATAATTTTGACCAGTACTGTATTTTAGTTTATATTGTTGTATCTTATAGACATGAAATGCTGAAGGTGATATATATCATTTTAGTGTTATATCTCTTTATCATACTCGCTCAGTTTATAAATATCAATTCTTACTTTGACACCATCTTCCTGTTACTGGATTAACATAATTATAATACATATTATTCTCAGATAGTTTTTGTATTACTGTACGAATTTTTTCTACCTAAACATGTGAGAATATTTTCTTGTCTATTAATAAGAGAATATTAATTATTTTACTTACTATTTCTAAATAATTTTTTTTTCCTGATAATTGTGTTAAATATTGAAATTCAAGATGAATTGTGCCTAATTCTGATAATATTGAACATCCACCTTGTGCCCAATTCCAGTTTTTAGTTGAACCACTGGAAATAATACGTATTGAAATGAAGTTTTGTAATTAATAAAATAGTAGACTTACGATGAGAGTACGATCAAAGCATGGGGAATGCCAGTTGGTGTGTTGAATGCTGGTAATAGACGATCAGCAACAAGAATGGCTTTATCCAAAAACATCTTAATAAAGAAGATAGAAATAGTATTAGATGGATTAAAACAGAAACATGACGTTATTATAGTCAAAAATTTTTGATTTTTTTGACTGTCTGAATTTCAATTATGTATGAATTTTTGTTTTTTATCATAAAAAAAAAGATACTTTTGATCATCAGATTGGGGATGGTAAACAAGACGTGTGATCATCATGAACATAATTGTAAACATTTCGTGACATTATTGTAATTGAGTCTATATCATCATTTATTACAGTTTCTTTAAGAGTTCATAATCACGTAAGAAATACTTCGAATATTAAACACATTTAAATAAATATTTTGTATAATTTCCAAGATCATTTGTTCGACATTTATACACACCATGTGATTTAGCAACCGCTTTAACATCATCAAGTGAATTAACTACGCTTATCAAACGTTAGCTTTATAGATAAATGAAGTTAGAAAAACATGGAATTTGAAGAACTGTAACCAATTTTAGACAGCTACGTAAGAGAGAGACTATATACAAATAAGGAAAGCAGCCGGTAAAATTCAGAGTTGGGCAAGTCCGGTGTTTTCCAGTCTGAGTCACGTCTAAATCCGGTAGAGCCTAAGTCAGAATCAGTTCCATTCCGCTCTTCAGCTAAAATATTTCAGTCCCAGTCCACTTTGCTTTAAATCCGATGTCAGTCCCCGCAAACATTGTTTTCCATTTCCATTCTTTTTCTTCTATTTTTTCATCAGTCTCTTTACATGGCTATAGTAACAAAAAAACGAAAACAACAAAACTTTTTGTAAATGTTAAAAAATAAGAACAAGACAAGTCTTTTTGTTTCCTTTTATTATACGAAAATGAAAGGAAAAGCCTAATTCGTAAGAGAAAAGTTATATTTAAGTAAAGTAAGATGGGAGAGGGTTTTTCTCGTCATTTTTGACCGATACGGTCGTATAAGAAAATCGAATTGAGGGAGCATTCTCTCAACTGGAGTCGAAGTGCCTGACACTATGTGACTATGCGTGCTCAACATCGGGTACAGAGTAGATTTATTGAAAATTAAACTACTATCTGTATCTTCTCCTTTCAAATAACGTAAAAGGCGCTCGCTATAAAGTTTTGACTACAGAGCGAGATATATGTAGGTTTGTAGAGGAAGACTTATTCTTTCTAGTGGTGTGTACATCGTCGAATCCTAATGTGCATCCTCAGAGAAAAGTAAAGGTAATGCCGCTACTTTTAGACTTTTTTTAGAAATTTATTTTATTTTTGAATAATAAATATTGTGCATTATAGAGTAAAGTGCCCTCTACAAAATAAGATCACTTCTACCTCTCCAACGCCTTCTGTTGAGAAGATACGAGTTTTTTAAACTTTGTTACTTTACTCGTTTGAAACAGTCAGTCTTGTAGAGTAAACATTTCTCCACAAAATGAAATGTCTTCCAGCTCTTCACCATGTTTTCTGATAGAGTTATGATCATTTTGGACGTTATATCAGAAATGTGACTTGCTCAAAGACTTTCAGCAAAATGATCATAGCTCTATTAGAAAATATGTTGAAGGGCTAAAAGACATCTCATTTTGTAGAGAAATGTTTACTCTACAAGACTGACTGTTTCAAAAGTTTATCAAGTACTGAATGAAAGAGAAAAAAGTTTCGAAAATAAAAAAGTAGATTTTTTCAGTGTAAAGTAACACACTTTAAAAGATTCGTATCTCCTCAACGGAAGGCGTTGGAGAGGTGGGAGTGATCTTATTTTGTAGAGGGCACTTTACTCTATAATGCACAATATTTATTATTCAAAAATAAAATAAATTTCTAAAAAAGTCTGAAAGAAGAGGTGTTATCTTTAATTTTCTCTGATGGTGCACATTAGAATTCGACAATATACACACCACTAGAAAGAACAAGTCTTCCTCTACAAACCTACATATATCTCATTCTGTAGTCAAAAATCATCGTGAAATTTATAGTTGCCTTTCCTCAGCAATATCATTGTTCGGTATGGCTTGCTATAGACGTTTTTTTGTTAGGCAGGTTTTTTTAGGCAGACGAGCGTTTAGTGCAAAGTAGTGAATAAATCAGAAAAAAATAAATCAGCCATCTTTTGATCACAGCTTTAACTGACCACGCGATAACACCAAAGAGATAAAAGAGTGAACAAGTTTAAACTGAAAAGTCCAGTCACAACTGTGAAAAAAATCAGTGCTAGTGCAGTCCAAATCCGTATGAAAAAGCTTATCAGTCTGGACTTGGACCTGCCCATCTCTGGGATAAAACAGAGGAAAGAAGATGAATAATAGATCAAAAGTATCTTTTTTCTTGGTAATCATTCGTATTTAAAAATATTTGATGATTAAAAGTATATTTTTTCATTGTAATTAACTTTTACCTTATCATTTGTTAATGTATAACCGGCAAGTAGTCCGCCAACTAATCGAATATTAATTTCGAATACGGATACTTCATTTGCCTAAAAATAGACATGACAAATTAGACATAAAATGGTTATATGATAGGTTAAAAGAGATGTAAATTATACCACGTTTGGATTAAATTGTTTATCAATCCATTCTCTTGCTTTCTGATATTCTTTATCTAATTTAGCTATATGCAAAGTGTCGAGAGAATCAATAATTGTTATTCCTATATTGCTTGTTCCAAATATATTTGCTGAATGACCCACTTTGGATATTGGACGATATTCATTTGCACCCCATGCATATTTTTCATAATTGGAAAATGAATGGTATAACATCTAAATAAAAGAAATAAATAACATCTAGAGTTTAACAAGAAGACCTATGATATTATGTTTTTTTTGAAAAAAAAATCTTTTTATAAGTTTTTTGCTAAATTAAACATAGATATATTTCTTCTCATGCTGATTTTATAATAGAAATTAGCTCTTTGAATAATTCATTTTTTATTTCTTTATAATAAAAGTTAGTATCATAATTAATTTACAGTTGTGTTAATAAATTTTATTAACTTACATCATATTGTTAGACATAATACAGTGGTCAAGTTTATATCAAATATAAAAATTCTTATTATTTTATACATTGATAATTCAAACTAATGAAATTATTACTTGGTACTATCAAAATAAATAAATATGTTTGAATTTCTTAATACTGAACTTGAATAATTGTATCTTCTCTCAATACAACTTCTAGTTCCACACTTTACTTTGTATGTACTTATCATTGCAAGGCATATTAATCACTTCTAATTCAAGTGAGAGAATTTGAAATAAGTTTAAGATAAAATTGAAACATTATTTTACTTGACTTTCTAAAGTTATCATTAGTATACAATTTAGGATTCTTATACAGAATTTCTGTGTGAATATCAAGTCCTATTTGTCGTTAGTTGAAACTTCGGTGGGGGAACAAGTCAATTTTTTAAGTATTTTGCTTTTAATTTTTGTTATTAATACTTGTCTTCCTCTTTTGACTCAGAAATATTGAGTAAACTATGAAGTAACTATAATAAACAATATAAATTTTTGGCATGTGTATCTTATAATAAAGTTTACTTTTTTCACGTTCATTTATTTACCACATCGTTCGTTCAATTATACAACTTTTATCTAGTATTTTTATTTCGTATTTCTTATAAATTAACTTTATTTTCGTGGACAAAGATAATGTGAGAGAGAGAGAGAACGAACATATACTTCAGAAAACACACAAATAATAAAAACAATTGTTGTCAAACAACATAGATATTGTCAATTTAAATATGAAATATCGAGTAACAACATAGTTTTAAGTGAAAGCTTAAAAAGAACACTAAGAATCTTTAAAAAATTACAGGCACATACACACATATATAAAACGGTTTAAAAATTGTACCACAAACGAAAGACTGAAGAAGGGTAGAGAGACACTCATAAGAAAGAGCAATTTTAGAAGAAAGAAGAGAAAAATAATACGAGACAAGTTGTTTTGTGCAGATAATCAAAAGTAAAAAAACATAACTAGCAAATTTTAAACTTAATGAGACGTATAATGATGATGATAATAATGATGACAATAAAAAAGAAAATAATCTCAATTCCATCTATCAATATTGAATTGAGCATCCAGACTTGTGACAGGATGTAAATGCGGTTTAAAGACGTCTTTTATGTCCGGACAACACTCACCTTACTCAATACAACATCAATATGGAACATTAACAATAAAAAAAAACACACACACACATACCGAACACAACCTGATGTTATTTTTTTGAATATTGAACCAATAGATTCCGAGTGACAAAGAAAAAAACGTCTCATTAAAAATAATATTTGCTAGATCTTAATCAACTGAAGAAAAAAACGGGTAGACTTTTTAAGGTCTTTAAATGACCACTTACGAGCATTTGTTGTTTAACAACGACGGGGTTAGAATAGGAAAAAGTTTTAGATTTGGACGAAATAAATAACGAAATAATTATATAAATAAAACGAAGAGTATATGTGTTTGTTTGAAAAATGATGACGATGATGAGAGTTCAAAATGCTGGCATATAACCAATATGAGAACCATAACCACCGCCAAATTGATATTCAGGTGCATAATTTTGATATGCGTTAAATGCTCCCTGTGCTTGTGCCATAGCGGCAGCCTGCATTGGATCAGTTGCACCATAGGGATTCATCATTAATTGTTGTTGTGGTATGGCTGCTCCATATGGTGATGCAGCAAATTGTGGTGTACCAGCAGGATTCAAAATACCCGCTTGTTGTGCTGCTTGAATTGGAAGTGTAATTGGTGGAAGAACACCGCCAAATACGGGTGAAATACCGGTACCATTTGCACCTTGTAGCATATACTGTTGTAACATTGGTTGCATTTGCATCATAGCTGCTTGTTGTGCTTGTGCCATGGCTGATGGTGGTAACATCATACCCATATCTCCCATAGCTGGTGTATAAAGATTTTTATATTTTCCATATTTACCAACTTTTTGTTGTCCATAGCCTTGAAAATCACGTTCTCCTGGATAACCGAAACCATTTCCACCATAATAACCACCACCGCCACTCAAATAAGGAGATGGTGGTGCTTGTGGTAATGCTGGTGGACCATAGGGACCTTGTGGCGGCACAAATGGACTTCGACCCGATGGATAATTTTTCGACGAATATTTATAATAATCATCTTTTTCAACTTTTTCTTGTTTATCTCGTTTATTACCACCAAATAAGCCCATGATGTTTAATTTTAATAATATAAATTTATATATATATGAAGAGTAAGTGGTGAGTGTTGATGTTGATGTTGAATAAAAGAACGTCGTCCGACTTCAACGGATTTTATTTAAAATGAATTAAAAAATGTAAAGATAGTTTGGGACAAAAAAAAAATATAGAAGAAGAGAGAAGATAGTCGATTGGACGAAAAATCTGTATCTTTCTATCTTGCCGAAAAAAGTATATTGAAAGGTCACCAACGTGCAAAAGATTCAACCTAGTCTCAGTCTCACTCTCTCTCTCTCTCTATCTTCATCTATATACACCCGTTTGGTTACGCTTCAATAACTCGTCGTATCATCATCATTAATGATGAACGAAAGAAAAAGAGACAAAGTGTTCATTCAATATCTCTTGTTGGATATGGTTTATTAATGAAAGATGGATAGATAGATATTTTGAAACAATGATTTAAAGTGATACAAAGAAGAGTACATATTTTATCATGATAAAAAAAATCTATAAAATTGCATCAATAGTCATCGTGTTAATAACTAGGTTAAAACGAAAAAAAAAAACATTTTTTTTTTTTTTATTGATGATTTCTATTAATCGTGACAGAGAGAAAACGAGAAACAATTCGAATATTATAGATTCTTCTGAATGAATAACAATGTATAAACGAGCTTCTAGTGGAATTAAGTAATTGTCATAATTATTGTACACTAAAAAGTTTATTGAACATTTTCTATGTACAAAAGTGTTGTTAGATGTTAAAATCTTTTTTGTTTAATATTTGTTTATCAAGTACATAGATGATGATCGATCAATTAATGTACAATTAAGATTTTTCACCTGTTTACAATCAATGTAAAAAGAATAGTTAAAACATTTATACGTTAGGTTATATGAGAGTCAAAAATCCATCGTAACAAACGATGAATAAAGTTAGTTATAGCATAGAGTAATGAAATAAGCAGTTTTGAAAAAGAATCTATATTTTACTCTATTATAATTGATCGTCATTTATAAGTATTTAATATAATGTAATAGTCAAATTGAATTAATGAATGTAATAACTAATAAACTAGTGTAAATACAACAAAAAAACAACTCTTGGAAATAGCTCGATTAAGTCTTAAAACATTAGAATAGACATATAATTAGTAATAATTGAAAGATTATTCTGAATAAAAGTAATTTAGTTGTAATTATCGAATTACATTCACTAATAAAATTGCATTAGATATTTTACTTGAACATCAATTTTCCTCTATGAATATCAAAAATGCATGAATTTCTAATTTTCTTCGTAAATATGAGATTTAAAATAGAAATTCTTTTGAACGAATCTTTTAAAATTCGTTTTCTTTTTTTCTTGAATATTGAAATATTGAATCATTTTTTTCTATCAAAAATTGTACTGTTAAAAATTTTAAAAGTTTGATTCTTAGAATAGGTTTTCTATAAGATATTTACGTCATCAATCAATAGATAAGGTATATTAAAAATGCAATTGAAATATTGAACATTATCAAAAAGTAGAAAATAAGCGTCAAATAGAAAGAGGAATGAAAAATGTCATTTCTTCTTGATTTTCATCATTCATATACTTATACACACTATTTATGTTCAAGCATAACATAGAAAAGGGTAAAAAATAGACAGTATGTAATTAATGATCAACTAAAATTGAACATGTCATGATGCAAGTTTTCATTTCAATCTTACCATATGTATCACATACTATATATGGATGGGATATATATTCATTTACAAAAAAATTAAAAATGTGTATGACAATGAATATGTTAAATGAAAGATGACATTCTCGCTTCGAGAAAGATATCATCTTTAATCATTAACGAAGAGAAAAGAAAACGAATTCTAATGGAGATACATTAAAATCACTACCACATATACACTGATTTGATATTAAACAGATATATACACTTTTTTTAACAATGCGTTTATCAGTATACATTATTTATCATCATTACAGAAAAGACTAGTAAGATTTACCACTAATAAAATTCAAAAATGTGTTTAATCTTGTATAGTTAAAGAAATAAAAATATTTTTAACATTGTAGACCTAGAATAATAATACATGTCCCCTTTCTTTTACTAATGATCATTAAAGATCATTTTTAAATTAACTGTACTTTACTATTTAATGGTGACTAACTTTTATTTATCAATTCAAAAAAAAAAATATTTCTTCTTAATAAGATAAATTATTTTTTTGAATATTATCAAAAATTTGTCTTCGAACTTTATCATTCTATTTTTGCATGTTAAAATGCGATATTGTTCTATTTTCACTGTAAAATAATTTTTATATCGTGCAATTAAATGTTAATCTTCGATATAGAAAATAATGTATGTTATTATTTTCTACTATATCATTGTAGATAGTGTCTGTTAATAATAGGTGTGAACGAACATCAATAGACGAACGGTCTCTAAGTTGAGACAATCAAATGTAAAATATAAATTTTTACGTATAAAGTCGTTTTTAATTGATGTATAAAAATAAAATCGATACTCGTGATCAAAAAATGATGAGTTATGAGAATAACACATTTAAAATTGACTATACATTCCTACTTTAAGGCGTCTACTTATTACAAAATATTTCATATAAAAAAACATATATAAATTTGATAAAAAGTACGTCTCATCTTCTAGGTCAAAAACTTATTTGGGTAACTATAAGTTTGATTTGAACTAAACTTTCAGAAAATTTTGATTATGTCGATGCAAAGTTATAATAAAATTTGAAGGTTCTTACCTTTGTTCAATAGATATCGTCTGAATAAGGGTCAAAATGGGGCATTCACCATGTACAAATTTCTTCTATAGCTAGAAAGCTCGGGTTAGTTTTAAAATATCAGATTAAGCTAGGATGACGACGTAAAAGAGCCGAAATTTTTGAATTTTCTCTTTGCTTTAAATCCTAAAGGATTTTATTTCAAAAAAAAATTTTATTCAAAATTAAGTTGAAAAAAAGCGAAACAACTGGTGTATAGTTTTCAATAGTGTAAAAAACATGATGGTCTAAATAAAATATCGGATTCTTTTACGTCGATACTAAATGTTTTAGCTCATTTTAAAAAAACCAGTCCATTTTGACTTTTGATTATGGAGCAGACTGTCGGACAGTCGCATTCACCAAGCAAAAAAAGTGTCTAGAAAGCACACAGAAGACTTTTTTCTTTTAAAAACTACTTACTTCTCTTATCTCATATCTTTTGATCTCTAAAAGTTTATTGAAATTATTTATAGATTTTCGGTCATGAAGATTTTGATGCGTATGTGCTCGCACACGTACTATATATGCGTATGTGTATATGAACGTCTTTTCATAATACCATTTTCTTAACCTATAAAACATATGATATGTACATTTTCACAGGACTACAGAAAATTTCCACTAAAAATACGATTTTTAGCAAATAAAAGTTAGTGGATTTGAAAGAGGATGCTTGTAGCACTACATCTTCATGTATTTTTCTTATTGTCGATATTTTTAATGAAAATCATCATTTCTGACTCTGCAGTTTTTTTCGAAGCAGAAATGATTATTTTAGGCTTATAATGCTCTCTATATCTGAAAATAGTGTTCGCGCAAGAAAAAGTCTTATTTTGAAAACTTTGAACGCATGAGGTCCTCCCTCAGATTAAATTTTGTTCACCTGGAAAAAATATCTCAGAAATTTGAAAGAACTATATTATTCGATGCAGTTTGTCGCATTGATTCCGAATATGATCTTAGCGACTATGAAAAATAGACTTTTCCTGGAAGTCCTCTTGTGCGCGATCTAGAAGTATTTGTGCTATCTGGCGCTCATTGGACTGTAGACATCTGTTCCAAAACATCGTTAGTCTGTACTGTAAAAAATCATCTGCACTTATTTTTTTCTAGTATAGAAAACAATTTTACTGACTTTTTGTCAAATATATCCTGCCGCACATTTAGCAAATAAATCGAAGCTCTCTGTTTTTCGATCTAAGTATAGAAAACTATACTTTAAACTATGGACTATATATTCCAAAAAGAATTTTTGTTCTAACTGCTAAGCATCATGAGAAAAAGCTTCAGTAAAGCTTAGCTCGAAAAGACATTGAGATGTTATAAAAGAAGTTTTTCACTAGAGCCAAACATGTCCAAAACAAAAACAACATAGATTATTAATCTAGACTCTTTTTGACTAAATTAATGAACAGATTGCTTAGTTTGGACGAAAAGAGTCGGGGAAAGAAATTTATTTTTCGAGTCGAGTAAGTTTTGATAGATGGCTGATCAGTGGAAGGAGTTTCCAGAATTTTTTAGAGCTTCAGACTTCGTTAAAATGTTCATCTATGTCAGCGGTGTCTATCCCCATCTGAATATTTGAGGCATTTTGTACCACCTCGAAGGTTCGATCTCTCAGTGTACCACCTGAAAAATGAATTTCTATAGCAAAAAAAAGCGTACCACCTTACTTTTGTTTGAGGCATCCCAGCGTCCCACAGGATAGATACCCCTGATCTATATACAACACATCTGTAGTGTGTGCATGCAAACTCTTTTCCTAACTCGCCCTCTACGATTTCCAAAAAAACTTAGTTTTTAAGTGAAATCGATTTTTCTCAGTTCAAGAACACTTCTAAGAACAAATAAGGTTATATGCGGAATCAATGCGTCGGATTACATCGAATCATGTATTAAACAATAAGTTTTGAATCGAAAAAGTAACAATTAAACTTTTTTTCCACGAACTAGCAAGATCAATTTTTTCTGAAAATGTTAATTGTTTCTTTAAGAGGATCAGAGATGATTAGACAATGATAGTTGTTGATGAAAAATGGTTTACGAGTAACAAATTCTGATGCCCGCTTGTTGTTAGAAAAATGTCCACCGTAGTCGTGAGGAGAAGTGAGAAATCAATGATAGTAACTTTCTTAGAAATTATAAACTATCCATATATTGTGTAATTCTAAGCGACGTCAGTTTTCGCTAAATTTTGAGCAAACAACAGTATAGTAGTAATACATTATAACGACAGGATCCTTTCAGATGCAATTGTGCAAAGTTTAATTATTATAATGTCGGCATTGATTAAACTCACAGAACTTACCTCTCTAACTTTTTCTCTTCTAATTCTTGGAGATTTGATTTGTTGTAACTGTTCAATAGACATGTTTCCAAATAATTGCGTTAAATTTTGAATCGATAATGGTTGATCACTATTTCCAATATCGTCGGTTAGATTAAATTTTATTCGATCTATTCCATCTTTACTCTCGGGACTCAATGTTGATGTTTTGGGTTTTAGATCTGGTGCAACTAATGTATCATCCGCTTTTGCACGTTCAATTTTTTCTTTTAATTTTGCTTGTTCTTCATATAAATGTACTGAATGATTATGTTCGTTCTCTAACCTATTTGGTCCCCAATGAAGTGGTGGTTTTGGAATAGGCGGAACAAAAACGGCTTCGAAGTCATCTTTATGTCGTTTAATGATGTCGACAAAATCCACTCGTGTTGCATCGGGTAAATAATAAAACGCGATGACCGTTAAACATAAAAATATGAAAATAATTAATAAAATAAGTTGTGTAGTATGGGAACGATATCGACGACTACCAGGTAAAATATTTGTTAATGGTAAGATGGGTTGAAAACGAGCCATTTCGTAGATGGTCTAAGATGATGATTAAAAGATGAGGGTAATAGTAGTATTGTGAATATTATGGGCATAATAAGGATAATACATATAAACTAGGCCGATGAAATGGCTCACGTTTACACCGGCCGTTCCAAATAGATCTAGAAAATATAAACAGAAATGAATACCTCAGTAAAAATCCTTTCATCAGTTAAAATTATGTCTAAAAATTTTATTTACTACATCAACCCTTTCCCTCTAATAGTCTCATCAATTGTATTTGAAAACACTATCCGTAAGATTCACTATCGAAAAACAAGTTTTTTGTGTAGTTTGACCCTGTATCCCTTCATAAAATTGAAATCGCATTCATTAAGCATAATACAGTCAATTCTTCTACGTACAGTCAAAATAAATCACGCTTAAAAACAACTAAAATCTATTATTACATCTATTACTCTCAGAACTGATTAGGATCAAGATATTATCGATGACTAATCAAAGCGATGGATTCTTCTAATGGTTGAATAATTAAAGAAATGGCCTCATTTTTCTTTTCTGTAATGTTTATTTCATTCTATTCTGCTAACAAGAAAACAGAATTTGTATTATTTCTTTTAAAATAGAAACATTGAAATAAAACATCAAGTATATACCATAGAAGAACATCTTAGTCTTTCAATTGTTAGAATATAACAAAAAAAAAATGAATTGCACTTAGGTTAACGCATTCAAAGTTTGTTTATGCCTATACATATAGTTACAGATCTCACAAATGACCGATAACGACTCTTTTGCCAATGAAATCTTATCTAATGTCTAGTTAAACAATATTGAAAAAATAAACATTCTGATGTTTTTCTTATACTCACTACTCTACAATACAATAACATTCATTCTTTCTTTTAGATCTCTCTCACTCAAGAATTTCTAACTTATAGGATGGCGGAGGGAGGAAAGGAGATGTATGTGAAACTTTCAAGTTTTGCTTCCTACTACGTTGTCCTAATAACGCAAAAATGTCAACAGTAAGATCTAGACCTCAATCTTTAATGATTTTATCAAAACAAAATTTTACTTTAGAACAAACAATGATTATTAATAACGATATTTGACATGATCGAGTGCGTTTATTTGATTTATTTTACATACACGACGGATAAATGAAACAAAAAAATAAATAAAACAGATAAAATAAATACAACGAAAAGTAGAATGCACAAAATAAATCGATGATGACTCAGTTAATTATATGACAACAGCAACTAGAATTACGAGAGGAAAAATACATTGAAAAAAGGATGTGTATGTTTAGATATTCGCACAAGTTTTCTTATTCTCTCGTTTTCTCTCTATTTAAGCCGTTGGATTTTCTTCCATTAATCGAAATGAAAATGGTACAAATGGATAACCTTCACCTTTATAAAATTTTGATTGAAATTCAACCCTAGAATGATATAGAATAAATGTGATCAATTTTAATAATTTTATTAATGTGCAATATTTGATTAAATACATACCAATGTAAACGTAGTGCATGAAGAAATGCTGATAAACCTTCCATTAATAACAATATACTAACAGTTAATACTGTCCATGGTGCAAATACAATATAGGTAGCTATTGATCCAACATAACCAGACATGGCTAAACCATTATGTAACACCATATGCCATAGTACTTCTGATAGTTCTGCAAAAAAAACAATAATAATAACAAATAAAATTCTCAATTGTATCTTGTAATAAGTCAAAAAAACATACGTGCATGTGCTAAGGATAATGCCCATAATCGTAGATAAGATGCGGTATGTGAAATGCAACCAAGAAAATATTCGATTGTATGAATACCTTGTTCAACCCATAATTCACTCATCTCAACCTAAGAAGAAAGAAAAAAAGACAATTATTAAAATAAAATCTAATATCTTGAATTAATGTTAAATTTATTCTACGATTTTTAGTAATAAAGCATAAAATTAATGTGAGCAACTATCAAGCATAAGCAGCAAACAATAACAATACAATATAATAAACAAGTTTTACATGAAAACAAACATAATAAACAAAAAATAATAAAAGCATAGAATGCAAAGATGTTCAGTGTGATTTTTATTTATAGAACAATGGTAAGGAGTGTGACAAAAGAAGTGACACAAATTTATCTACCTCCGGTACGTCTGATATATCAGCATCCATCATGGTCTCCGAACTAGTATCTGGATCACGTACATCAAACTCCAATACTATACCTCGCTATAAAAATATCAATAAGAAAAAGTAATAAAAAAACATGTTGTATAAATAGAAACAGTTTTTTTAAATCAAAAATTAAAGAGAAATTTATCCTAAAAACAAAAAAGAATTAATTCATCATATTTCCCACTATACAATTATCCTATTTATTCTAATTATGTTAGTTTTGCTCATGAGCGTTTAGCATGCACATAGTTTATTATTAATTTCGTATCAATAACCTTATTTTTTTATTTTCTGAAAATAAAAAAACAATGTACCTTTCGCTCATGTACATCTTCGATATGTTCATCAAATGTTGTCTAAGAGAAAAATCATATCAGAAAAAAATGGTCTGTTCATGTATATACATATAAATATATATGTGTGTGTGTGTGTGCGTGTGTGTGTACTGAAAAGTAGATTTGAGAGGCCAAAAATATTCCCCATTTTCTTATTACATGCAAGCCTATTTATATTAGTAGAAGTAAGCAGTCATGTCAGCATTTTTCAATAAAAATAATTATCTAAATATTCCAGTCTAGAATTTCTACTATTTATCTCAAAAAAGAAAATAATCGATTGTATAGAAAGTTTACTCTTATAATCTCTAAAAAGACGATCTAACGAGTGATAGGTGTAAACAAAGAAAACTTGACTATTTTTTTAACTTCAAACAGTAAAATGACAAGATGTTATTGAACTTTTTCTATTTAAATATGAAAGAATTTTAGTTTTGCTTCAAAACTAAAATATGGTGAAATCAATGATTATATCGTAGAGTATAGAAGAGTAAAATTAAAGACGTAAAATTAGTCTTTCAAATTTGAAAGTAAACGAAAGATGAAAAAATTATTGAAAACGTACGGAAAAAACACATTTTAGACCTTTATACAGATTCGTCATTCAAATTAGATATGATAATTTTTAAATATGACTCACGAGGGAACCGCTCCAAGTGTTCCCGAGCTTTTTCGTCGAAACACATATAGGCATAGGTTATCGCTGATGCTGATTTCGAATATCATAGTCGGAGTGAGACACGGGCTCTTGAAGACCCGATTTTCTGTAAAATCAGTTTTTCAGAAACTCTAAAAAATAACCAAAACTTTTCTTAACGAGGCATGATTATAGCGCGCAAATTTCTGATTAAAATGAGATATCTCCCATCTCTATACGACCTTTCTTTCCAAAGTTATACAATTTACAAGAAAAGCCTTAAATGTTCATTGTCAGCAAAGCTACAGAAATAAGAAGAAATTAATTTAGGGCTTTTGTTATAAATTCTATAACTTTGCAAAGAACGGTCGTATAGAGTTGGGAGATATCTCATTTTAATCAGAAATGTACGGGCTACAATCATGCCTCATTAAGAAACGTTTTGGTTATTTTTTAGAGTTTCTGAAAAACTGGTTTTATAGAAAATCAGGTCTCCAAGGACCCGTATGCCGCTTCGACTATGATATTCGAAATCAGCATCAGCAATAACCTATGTCTATGTGTGTTTCAACGAAAACGCTCGAGAACACTTGGGGCGGTTCCCTTCTCAGTAGTCTGACGTTTCTAAAAGCTAAATGATTAACAAAAAATGTTAGTGCATGCAATTTTCCCAAGATAATCTGTTACTTTTCTATAGACTATTGATCACGATCTATTTACTGGTCAACCATGCATAACAATGTCAAAACATACTCATTTCAAAGTTGTCTACTGTTAATCAGTCATTTTGATATATTTTCTAAACATATGCCACACATGATCAAACACATACATAAACAGATTCAACGTGATCGATAATCATTGAAAAAGTACAAAAATAAAATTATTTAAGACTCAAACAATTTTTTCAAAATACTTCATTTTAAACAATGAAATCAATTTATTTGCTTAAAATATTTTTCGATATTAGAAAAAAAAAGTTAAAGTAATTTTTTCTTCTTCTAGTATTTTTATTCGTTTCATATATTATCAGAAAGTATTTTATTCAATCAGTTTAATCAGTTAAAAATTGAAATAGATTACAAAAATAGTTTTATTTTAATCATTCAATATTGTTTAACAAATGAATTACGTAGTCATAAAGCATTATTTTTTACTCTAAATTGTATTATGAAAATATAGCAGCACAACTATCTAGAAGAATTATGCATAAAAAATCAACGAGCTAGTTAAATATCTGAGAGAGAAAAAGAGAGCACACACACACTCGCTATTTGAAAAAAGTATCGAACTACCTTTTGCTCATTTACATGAGATGAATGCATATCATTTAAGTTTATTTGATCATCATGATTACTTGCACTATTCTCAAGAGTATTTATATTCTGCGGATGATCGCCATTATTATTTACAGAATGATGATCATTTTGAAAATGTTGATAGAGCTGTAAGTAAGTAATATAACAGAATGGATGGACAAATTTTTACATGTATAAAAATACGTACATTCGCTCGACGTTTATTCATTATTATTGTGTAAATTGGTTTGCCTAATAACATTGTAGGTATGCACAGTACAGCAATGGCTAATAAAGCCATTTGAATTTGTTTCTAGAAACAGAGAAAATGATTTCAAAATTAGATTATTAAAAATAAATAAAAACACAAAAAAAATGATTTTTACTTTGAATAGAACATGATGTTTAGTAGAGATATGAGTAACCCTAATCATTTAAAGAATTAGTGATTACAATAACTTAAACTGGAAAACCTTGCAAGGATAGCACCTAAAGGTGCTAAAAAGTGAAACTCCCAATACTAAGACGTCTAGTCTTAAAAAAAAATGAATTCTAAACTGAAATAAAAGTTTAATATACTAATGAAATTTAAAGAACATGGATGAAACTTTAAGAGGTTGTGTCGTCCAAGAGGGAGGGGAAGGGGTCAAATTTATCTTAAAAACAGCGGTTTGGGGTTATAAAACTATTACTCCCTCTTCTTCGAAGATAGTGAGGAGTTCCACAAAAGATGACAGAAAAAATTTGTTTTGATCCCACTTTTTATCTGAAATAGTATTTTTTTATTGAATTCTTTCACTAATTTTAGATGTAATAATTAATTTTTCATTGATAATATCCTTAAATTAAGAGTGACGATTGTGCACACTATTAACTGTGACAATAGTGCGTAAAAATTTTATGAAAAATTTCTCGTAATCATCATTATCGCAATCATAACTTTTGTAAAAGAAAATCTGATGTACACCATCGATTTCTAATGTTTAGATTTCTACCTGTCCGGGGTAAAATTGTTTTGAACTTGCAGGTTCATTTGGATAAGACATTAATATCATATCGATCAAATCTAACAAATGAGAATAAAATTATGTTCATTTTCTGTGACAATAATTTTAAAAATGTAATTATCGTTAAATATCTCACTTACGTATCAATAAACTTGGTGCTATATCAGCATTTGATCCATCATAATGTGTCCATTTGTAAAATATCAAAATAATTAAATAAAAAAATATACATATTAGAAAGATCAATTGTGGTAAAAATTCGACAAATATCGCATAGTGATGATTAAAAAATCTAATAAAAATAAAATAATCGATAAAATTGTAGAAAATAATTCTTTTTTTTATACATACAAATGATTCCACATGCTCAATGTAACACCAAATGCCATTTGAAAAATACCAATAATAATAGCAAATTTCATTTTCATAGAATTTGTAAATGTAATTTTATTTTCAGCTAATTGCCAAATCTATTAAGTAAAACAAAAAAAATGAAATTTTGTACTAGTCTAAAACAAAAAACAAAAACATACTGGATCTAATCCAAATGGATATGGTACACCTGAATACATTTTTACATAATCTTTACTATGTGTATAATTGTATGGTACCGGTTCAAGTGTCACTGTCTCCGATGCATTCAAAAATTGATCACTAAATTAAAAAGTATATAATATGAAAAAGAAACAAAAAAAAATCAATTAGAAGAAAAATAAGTGAAACATACTCAAAGCCAACTCTCCATGATGAACCAAAAATATTTAATGATTTTGAAAATACATCATTATATAACATGCCGGTATATATTGAAAATAATGCCATTAATAATATAATATATCGTCCACCAAAAAATATTGTCCAAACCTTTAAAATAGTAAAAAAGAAAAACAAATATATATATTAAATTTAATTTTATAATAAATATTTTACTTCAATATCTTTCCATTTATCTTTTAATGTTTTTTCTTTAAGAACCATCCATAAAGCGAATAAGAGCATAATTATACCGTGTCCAGCATCACCAAACATAACAGCAAATAAAAATGGAAATGTAATCACCGTATAAGGCACTAAAAGATAAAATAAATACAAAATATTAAACAATATATAATCAAATAATCATATTATCAAAATATACTTGGATTAACTTCACGATATGTAGCCACACCATATGCATCAATTAAATTTTGAAAACCTTGAGTAAATTTATTTGATTTATTAAATGTTGGAGGATTTTCTGTTGTATTCATTCGATTTAAAACCGATTGTACAGTACCACCAGTTTGTTCCTATAAGATATAAATTAGATTTAGGATTATTTAATCATTATTATTATTATTATTATTATTAATTTCTATCATTTCACCGATCCTTTTCTTAATGCTAATTGAATTCGATCTAATTCCGTGACAGGTGCCCAACATTCAGCAATCAAACATTTTCGTGCCACATCATTATTAAACATATTCATTGTATGATAAATTGCTTTGATTTTTCGAACTTTAATTTGCCATGTACTTAAATTACGACTAGTAGCAGCTAAAACACGTTGACGATGTTCTTGTGTTTGACGTAAAACAACACCTAAATCTTCTAAACGTGTCATAACACCCATAGCTAATTCACGACGTTCTTGAGGATTTTCTGGACATGGATAAATATTGGCACGAAATCTAAATAATAATGTACACATATAAAACAATATAAATTATAAAAATAGAATTAAATAATTATACCCTTCACATATTTTTTGTACACGATTTTTCAATTGTTCACCTTGAAAAAATATGACAAATACTGTTTTATGAACTTTTTCACCCTAAATGACAAAAAAAAAAACCAACAATAATATGTTCAAAAATAAATTTCTAAAATAATATCCATTGACAATTTTTGTACCGTAATTGGATCTTCAACTTGTTCTGGTATATCAGCTTGTTTAAGAAACACATTACCACGACAGACACGCCATAACATTCGTTCAAATGTGGGCATACGTTCACGTGGAATTACACCAGTAATAAACCTAAATAAATTACGTAAGTAAAATAATAATAAAATAATAAATGAATAAACAAGACAACACAGAGAAAGAAGATGTGTTTATTTGCACATGCAGATAACAACAAAAACCGAAGGACTAAAGCAAGTATTAAGAGTTAGCAAAATATCCCCCAAAAAAAACAAGGGCCAATAGATTTTGGCAAACTGTAGAAGTACTGCAGAGAGACTTTAAGAGAAAAGTACATTAGATAATTCTATTCTTTTGTTAACAAATTACAAAAAAGAAATTGGATGAATATATTAATGAAACAATTTTTAAAAAAAATTTCTGTAGATACTTGATTAGTGTATGACAGAGATTATAATGGCATGGAATCTAATTTTACCACAAACAAGAGGAGCATGGTCAAAATTAAATAAAAAAATTGTGCACCGATTCTGTCGTCATAACTCGTTTTTCAGTTTGTCTTTATTTCATTTTTTGGCACAATGAAAACGTTTTTAACTGAAAATTAAGAAAAAAGGTTATAGATTGAAAAAGACATAATTAACTATCAGATTTAGTCTAATTGAAATAGAATTTTTACAACAAGAAATATACACAAAACAAAAGAATTAACAATAAAATATTAGTTATTGGTTTTTTTACCCTAATTTGAGTGGTTGACCGGATGCAGCAATTTCCATTTCACGTGCAGGCACAATATCATGATCAGTTGGTCTTGCCTTTTCACAAAGAAAAAGAAACAAACGCATAAAAAATAGTACTAAAGCAAACCAATGAAAGGCAAAAAATCAGAAAACAATTGCAAAAAATTAATAAATATTAGCTTAAGCAGCATTATATAGTAATTCTTTCTTTCTCTGTGTGTGTATGTGTCTATCAATTATGTCAATTTATCTATCAATTCTTATCCATTATGAATTAATTTTCTCCTACCCTAATGTTATTAATGATGAAAAATCAGTAGGAGCTAATAATTGTATTTCTTCTTCATTAACATTAGTCTGTGATGATATCACAGAGCTAAAAGTCTTTTGTGCCTATAAACAACACATATACAAACATCAAAATAATAATAATGGATCAGAAACCGTTGTTTGAACTTTGTATTCATAAATAAAGATGAGATAGATTCTACTGTGTAATAATTTAATTAAAAAAAAGCTGTGAATCTTTACACCAGTGCAAATTTTACTTCTAGCAATATATTAAGCACACTCTTTTCTTCTCAAACATTTTGTGATATTCTCTATATGATTCTAGTGATAAACGATATTATCGTTTATAAAAATAAGCGGTGCCACAATCAACAAATATGAAACCTTTATAGACAGCTACTATATATGAAGCAACATATTTTGTATGAAATTATTTTTTACACATACATCATCAAAAAATCCTTGGGTCATTGATAAATTATGTTTTAATTCTGTTAATTCTGAAAAATTTCGTTTTAACGCATCGGCATTTGTATTGATTTCTTTTACTTCATGATCTAATTTTTCAAATGTTGCCTAAACAAAAAATAAGTAATTAAAACCAAAATAAATATGCTGTCAGTTGACACAAAACAAAAAAGAGGCAGGAACGAAAATTGCACATATCTAATGATAATATATAACATTTTTGTTAGGAAATGTTATAATATTGAGAAGATATTCATCGTCGAACGTCATACGAGATATACAGTGTGTGCCAAAAATCCCTTGTGGAAAATATTTTTGAATTACCCCTCTGTTTCATTGAACTTAATCAATATTTTTTTTTAATATGATGGATATCACCGTCAAGTTTTTATTGATATGAAAAAAGTCTACAAATATTGCTCA